ACGATAAATATGTTATTTTTAATAAATAATCAATAACCAATTGTAAACAAAATTTATATCTTTGATTCTCTAAAATTAATTCATACATTTTTGTAATGGTTGCAGCATATTTACTTATCTTCTGTAAATAACCTATATTCAACAAACTATTTCCTAATATTCTATACTCCTTTTTTAGATGAAATTTGAATATTAAACTAATTTTTAGTTGTAATCTTTTAAATTCCAAAAAATCAGGAAGAAAATTATATCTAATAAAGATCCAACAACAATAAAATCATATAATCGTAATCTTTTTCCAATATTCAAGCATATAACTTTAACTCAAAACGTGAAATCCAAAATTTTGAAACACCTCATTCGTCTTCTTAATGTTCAATTGTTTCTGCGATTTTTTTTTCATTAAGCTTACATCAAACTGCTTCGTTAAAGTTGTAATCCTCATTCTAGTTCTACCTGCAAGATTTCCATATCCATATGTCAGGTTAGTATTATCAGTTTAGATCACTTTGTTTTCTCTATGAATTTATGGTTGAAATTTACAACAATAATCAATATGCTGGAATAGATGTTTTTCTAATTGTAAAAATATAATCTTGAATAGATACATAAGATCAATAAGCAATTTATAATCATCACGATTATCGTGTATCACACAATTTTACCTTCATTGATTCCATTCAAATTTCGAAGAAGACAGTTTCCATTGGCTGTATGTTTTGCAATGACCATTAATAAGAGTCAGGGACAGTCATTATCCAAGGTTGGTTTGTTTCTCAAACATCCCGTGTTTTCACATGGTCAATTGTATGTTGCTTTATCTAGAGTCCAAAGTAGGGACGAATTAAAATTGTTAATTTTAGATAAGGATGGTAGTCTCACAAATAAAACTTCCAATGTCGTTTATCAGGAAGTTTTTGGGAATTTATAAACAATGCTTTTCTACCATCTTTTATTTACTTTTCTACCATCTTTTATTTACTTTTCTTGTATCGTACTTCATCTATCATATTAATTAATTAATTTTTACAACTTTATTGTATTTGACTTATTCATATTAATGCTAATATCACTATTCTTCATTTTTTCTAAACTTTCATATCTTTTTTTTGTTACAAATTAAAAACTATAATTATATTTCAATTTATCATCCGTGGATTTCCACGGGTTTAAACCTAGTATATATTCTTAATAAAAGACTCTTTAAAAAGCCAGATGTTCCCTTTTTAAACCAGTGTTTTGCCACGTGTCATTCCTTAAGCAATTTACTCACTATTTTTCCCGCCCATTACCTATTCATCTATTCCAGCATCAACTCCTCTAAATCAGCTCTCCTGATTATCATTCCCTGATTTATTGCCTAAAATCTCTTAAATTCAAATTATTAGATAATCCATTTCCTTATAATGTTTGACGACTAATCTTCTCTTCATCGAATCTCCTTTTGATTTTTTATTTTTGTGTCTCTCATCATCTTCATTATAAGAGTGAGATATAGATGAAAACCAAGAGTTATCAAGCAGATACAAGTTTTTTGGTGTACATGTTGGTGATCGATAGTTTTTGAAGCTGGTTGGCCATCTCTCTTATCTATCGGAGCTTCTCGGTCTTGTACACTGTATCTTCTTGCTTCTCTCCAAAAACCAAAAAACCCTAGACGTCATTTTTTTGCTTCATTATCTCACAATTGGTAAGTAGTTTTGTGTCTTTTTTTGTTGGTTTCTTGATTCTCAAAACATTGGTTGAGTGGTTTGAAGAGTTTGCAAGTTGCTCGTTGAAAATCTTGAGTATTTTAGTTTCATGAAATCTCTCCTTACTATCTCACTTAATCTAAATTCACACACCTAATTCTTTTTGTGATTATAGAATCTTGGAGCACTAAGTTTATGGGTTAGCGTTTCAGCTGTGTCTCTTTTCCATGGGATTGGAATCTAGGGTTTGCAATATATCCGATTTTAGTTGGATATGTTGCCTGTCTAGGTCACAAACTTCACCATATACCTGTTTATTCCTTTTTTATTTTAATTTTGGTGATTTCTTCTATCAATGGTGATAGGGTAAAAAAAAACAGGGCTTTAACACCTGCAACTACTTCCGGTGTGTTTTGACCTGGTTTGGTATATTACCCTTTTTTGGAAATCATTTCTCGTACTTAGCCATTCAAGTTTGAGTGGCATCATGGTTTTAATGGTTATCATTCTAGGAGGCAGGAAAGACTCCTCTCCTATGGTAAGTAAAAAGACTCTTCTCCTATGGTATTTGGTTTTTTACCCTGATTTATTTTAACATTGCTATTCCTATCATACTCTATAGAAATCGTCCATGAGTATACCAGAAGTTATGACATCAATTAGAATATGTTATGAGAAATATAATTGGTTAATATCTTCTTCCACGACCATTATCTTTCTTATTCACCTTTTAGACTCGAATGATACAGACATTTACATGTATTATGCATAAGGGAATTTTTATATAAGTTTTCTTAGTTTTTTAAACATTTTTTCAACTTAATTCAGCCAATTTTTAGGGTCATTTTAGGGTTATATGGTAACAGATCCATGTTGATTGATTAAGAAGAGAAAAACAAAAGAATTCATATTTATCTTAGATAAATTATAGCATTGTACTTTAAAATTACATTGCTATTAAAGTGTTTTTTAAGCTATTTCTTGCTTTACCATACATAGTCACGTGTATACATAAAAGTGACTTAAGTAGTACCATTGTAGAATAAATCATAATGATCACACTTCTAATCAGTTGTCCTACATTGTAGTTGTCTTTATAGTGCCTTTCTTTTTGTAGTTTGATTGCTAAAAATTTTACCGTATTTAAAATGCATATTGATGTCTTTATCTATAGAAAGCAACATCTCTGTCATGGTTTTAAAAACTGCAACAGTTGCTAATGGCTCTATTCTTTGATATCTTTTTTTTATCTAAGACCAATTGGATCACTGTTATTACTAGACAATGGAACATACTTTTGTTTTCTATTGAATGGATTATATAACTTCATGTGAAAGTCAGTTTGCTCGACTTTAGTTACTCCATTCCATAAGTATTTTGTAATAAATACACAACCCGTGATATTATCATATAACATAAACTTTAAATTTAAGTTTTTTTTTATTGAATTTCTAACTAAACTTCAAATGGCCCCTTTGAAATGTAGATTTTTAGGAAGAGATTTGCTGATTGACAAATGAGATGAATTTGGGTTGAATAATCCATCACCAAGAGGTTATGAAGGAATCAATGGATAAGAATAAAAAATCAGTTGAGTGTGGCTTGAGTAATCATGACGCTTTTGTTATAAGATGGCCCTGCAGATTGCATTTTTTTCCATTTCTAGACACAAATTGTTGTGGATTCTTCCGTTGTAATATATTCCATTTGCATAGGGAGTTTTATTTTTGTCTGTGTTAGTGATTTTAAAGTGATCTAATATATTGAAGAATGGTGTGTAAAGGAGTGGATGTGAGTTTTAGGTTTACCACTTATTAGGAATAACATTTTAAGATTAATTCCAATTTATTTGGTTTATAACGGCTGAAAATTGTTGTGGGAACATAAATAAGAACGTGGAGCCGCATACCTTTCCTAAATAGATCATTGGATTCTTCATGTATTTGCTTATAGGTATTTGTTATATGTTACTTATAATATATAACGTGAAATGATTTGTGTACTTAATTTGTATTTTAAAAAAATGTTCAAAAGTTTGTAAAATATGTTCATACTTAGACGAGTTTCTTTTTGATCTCTTTGAAAATGAAACGAAATGGCGCAATATAATTTAACCATTGATTTTTGTAAACTTTTATTTACTTAATGTAGATGAAGCTTCACCATTCATTTGTTTTAAAATAGTTGAGAGATATAACTTTAATGGGTTAATTGAATTGAAACATGTGACGGTTTTTTGTTGCAGAGGGTGGTATAAAATTAAAATTTTATAAAACATCATTCAAACCAATGTGTTGTTATAGTTTGAAGTATCTATCTTTATAAATTAATAAATTTTTTTCTTATCATTATATTATGATTTATTTATAATTTTTTATTTTTTTATCCGTGGTGTCCACGGGTTATAACCTAGTATATATATAAGACAAAACTTCATAAATGGTCTCTGTAGTAGTGAAATGACCGAATTGTCCTTCATTTAACGGCTAAAAGCTAACGGGGTTAACGAAAATGACCATTTGTTAAAAGTTTTGAAACCACAAGGACGATCCATGAGGTTTATTGAACTCAGGGACTAAACTTGATATTTTCGGAAACCACAGAGACTACTTTTGAAGTTTTGTCTTAATTTTATAACTGCGGTTTTCATGGGTTATAAACTAATAAAAGAATACATAGAACAATATTGTTATGGTATGTGGCATTACGGTCAAATTAGAAAAAAAAATGTTAAAATTGGACGAATCTAGTGAAAAAAAATGTCACATCATTATGGTAACATGTTTACCAAGTAATAACGGGATGACGAAGGATTCTTTTCAAAATATTGTGTCTTTCATTGAAAAACTAAAATATAGTTCTTAAGCAATGAAAATGAGCAAAATCTAGTGGTTTTCATGTAATTTACCCTAAGTCATTATATATGTTGAAGCCTTACATTGAAGAAAAATATTTTTTTCTACTTCTCTCAATTTTTCCGTGATCAATACAATTCTTAACAAATTTCATATAACTATATTCAATAATCAACATCATGTCCAACACAGTTCTACCACATGTCCACCAAAACATCCTCATTTCCGCCGCTTCCATCTTCCTCTCATGATTCTTCCGAGTCAGCCAACATTCAGAATCATACAACACAGCCAGTCTGACTGACACCCAATAAAAATTTCATTTCATGAGACCTTTTTGTCTCGCAATACTCTTCTCTCATTCTCCACTTCAACCAATATGATGTGTGTAATGTCATACTTTATGCACAAAAATACAACCTTTTGTTCATCTTCAACGTCATTATATTGAGACCTATGCAACACTATGCCCTGGCTCTTTTACAACCCCTTTGCTTTTCATCAACTCCCGAATTCTCAAAACATCATTCCATCTACCAGAAAAAGCATACAAATTTGATAAAAGCGTATACGCAGCACTACAATCTTGATCTATGTTGAAAATAGCTTGTGTAACTCTTTCAGCCATTTTTAAATTTGAATGCATCTTACAAGCACTAAGTAAAGATAGCCAAATAGATTTATTCGGTTCCATTGGCATGTTTTTAATCAACTCTTCAGCTTCATGTAACCTCCCACTACGCCCTAAAATATCAACCATACATGCATAATGCTCAAGCTTCACCTTCTTAAACTTATACTTTAATAAATAGTTAAATATATTTTGTCCTTTTTCTAACATTCCAGAATGACTACAAGCAGAAAGAAGCCCAGTAAATGTTATATCATCAGCTTCATTTAACATCCCTTTACTTATCATTTGGTTAAAAAGGATTAAACTCCACATCCCATAACCATTTTGTGCACATCCTACAATCATAGAGTTCCATGAAACAATATTCTTTTTAGGTATTTGTTTAAATACGGATAATCCGTTTTGTATATTCCCATGTTTTGTGTAGAATACAATAAGGGAATTGCCTACAAACATGTCGGATTCAAGTCCTAGTTTGATAGCTGCTCCATTGATTACATTCCCTTTGTTTGAATCTTCCATTTCACAACATGAATTTAAGGCACTAGTGAATGAAGATTGATTTGGAAGAACATTAGATCTAAACATGTTGGAGAATACTTGTAATGCTTTCTCATGTTTGGAATTTAAACTGTATCCAGTTAAGAGGGAAGTCCAGACTACCACAGACGTTTGTGGATTCTCATTAAAAACTTTTGAGGAACTATCAGTGTCATTGCAATGTGCATAAAATGTGATTAAAGGGGAAGTAATGTATGTGTCTGAAAGGTAACCAAGTTTGATTACCTGACCATGGATCTTGACACCTAAATGGAAATCTTTTGCATTTGCAGAAGCTGTTATTGCAGATGAGAATGTAAATGAAGTGGGTCGAATGCCAGATGGCATCATCTGGTTGAAGAGAAGTAACGCGTCATCACTCTTTCCAGCTAGATCAAGCCCGCTGATCATGGAGGTCCAAGTGATGATACTCCTGTTTGGCATCTCGTGGAACAACCTCACAGCATCTTCTACTCTCCCATTTATGAAATATCCATGAATCATTGAATTCCAGGTAGCTTCGTCTTTTAATGGCATCTCCAAGAACAACTTTTCAGCTGCTTTTGTCCTTTTATATAACAACAACCCGTTTAACATCGTCGTCCAAGAAACCACATTTCTTTCAGGCATTTCTTCAAACAGCTTACAACCTAACTCCAAATTCCCACAGTCGAAACAGCCTTTGATCATAGAGTTCCATGTTACCACATCCCGAACTGGCATTTCGTCGAACAGCTTCAAGGCGTTGTTAAGCCGATTGTTTCTTACATGACCTTGGATCATCTTGGTGCACGAGTAAACATCTGGGTAGGAGACTTTGTTCGGAAAGACAAGAGCTTCATAGGTTCTTTGATGTTTGAGATGATCCGAAGTTATGGGAATGTACACAGGGGTAGTTTGTTTGACATGATTCGTGATAGTTGTTAAACATTTCGAGGATTGTGCGAGTGTGACGTTTGTGCATAAGATGGTACGAGAAACATCAGATGACCATTGTAAAACTTTGAGTTTCCTAATCATGGTAATTCCATTCGTGTCTTAGAAAGAAGTTGTGATAACGAGAACTAAGATAGAGAAATTGCACACAGAAGTAAAGTCATCGTTGCCAGCAAAACCATTAAATCAATAATTCAAGAATCAAAGTCCATAAATCCTCCAAAATCAGAAGCAATTTACTGTTTTTCTGTTTACATAACTCCAATCGATTCAAAATCGTTCCAAAATCCGAATGAGAGAATCGTTCCAAGATTGTCTACTGACTACTGGACTTCCATAGCATCCATTGGGCTTCAAAAATACAGAATAGTAAATGGGCCTACATTTAGGCCCCCTCCAACTCCAAGTTGCTGACATGGGCCGGACAGTACTTGGGCCGACACTGTCGACATGGCACATCTTTTTCATTAAGCATCTTTAGTTTGTCACAAGTTTTCATACTCTATTATATAAAAAAGTAAAAGACAACCAAATATATATATATATATATATATATATATATATATATATATATATATATATATATATATATATATATATATATATATATATATATATATATATATATATATATATATATATATGAAATCAAAAAAATGATTTATATATGATAAAGAATATTTGAGCAAAAGCCTTAACCAAAGAATATACCATCTTTTTTATTAGCTTGCCTTAAACCCGAAAGAAACCCTATCATCACCTTTACAACGTAACCCCACAAAACCCTTTCTCACAAACACCCTCAACAAGGAACGAACCAAAAAAACATTTACAAATGAAGAAAACTCATCTATAAGAAGACACATATCTCATCCTTACCCTAAATCACACAAACACACACCGATCTCTCTTGTCTTTTTTGAGTCGATCTTCAAAAAAAAAAAAATGGCGAACGGGCAAATGAGATCAGTGGCGTCGCTCATTATGGTGTTGAACTTCTGCATGTACGTCATTCTTCTGGGCATCGGTGGTTGGGCCATGAATAGAGCCATCGACCATGGCTTCATCATTGGTATAATTTGTTGTTCTCTTTTCACCATGATCATGATTTATATAAATATATATACACGTACACTGCTAATGTTTATATATGAACAGGTCCAGGATTCGATTTGCCTGCTCATTTTTCGCCAATTTACTTCCCGATGGGAAATGCAGCCACGGGATTCTTTGTAACCTTCGCTTTGATTGCTGGTGTTGCTGGCGTTGCATCGATTTTGGCTGGATTTGACAATTATCGTTCTTGGGATTCCACTAGCAGGCCGGCGGCAGTGTCATCTGCTATCATTGCATGGGCCCTTACTGTTCTTGCCATGGGGTATTATATTCGATTAACTCTTAATTGATATGTTCAAATATACGGCATGACCTTGCATGCATGGTCTAAAAGAAACTTTCAAATTATCATTATATGTAGGTTTGCTTGGAAGGAAATTGAGCTCGAAGGCAGAAATGCCCGCTTGGTGAGTTTATTAATTATGATTTTGGATGTAAAAGATAGAAATTATCATGAAATATGAGTTTAATTTGGTTGTTTATTTGGTATTGTAGAGGACGATGGAGGCATTCACAATTATCCTTTCTGCAACTCAACTCGTATATGTAGCTACCCTTTACGGTTGATGGCTTCAAGCGGTTGACACAAACCAATGTCTTAAAGGTGTTTGTGTGTATAGGCTTGTGTTTGGATTTTTTTTTCTTGATTCTCTTTCGTTTCTGTAAGCGATGATATGATTGTATTTATGAAATGTAATAAAAAGATTTGGATTAATGACTATTCATTATTAAATTTGCTTGATTATATATATATATATATATATATATATATATATATATATATATATATATATATATATATATATATATATATATATATATATATAAGTTCTTTTGATAATTTAAAGTTTTCTGAGAACTTAAAAACTCTTAATCCGCTCAATCATTTTTCAAAACCAAAACCATCAATATTAACGAAATGCAGCGTCTAAGAGAGATCAATCCTAAAAAAAGATCTGACGAACTTTTGTTTTGAAATATACATATACGCACATCTAAATATTCATATATGCATATATTTTGAAGTGTGAACGATAGATATAATTATTTGTAGTAATATTGAAAGTTTGCAGTCATAAGGACTGGTAATGCATCATTATCCCTCGTAATATTTGATAATAAGCAGTTATATAAACTATGGACGTCATTGTGTATATATATATATATATATATATATATATATATATATATATATATATATATATATATATATATATATATATATATATATATATATATATGTGTGTGTGTGTGTGTGTGTGTGTGTGTGTGTGTGTGTGTGTATAGAGGTGGGTTCAATTGAGAAAATAAAAAATGTTGAGAATGGGGGAATCATTCTCAGCCACTCATTTAATCTAAGCATAAAAAGACACGGTGGCAAACTTGTAAATATGTTAATAACCTTCAATCTCAAATATGTAACTATTGAAAACTCGATAACAGTTCGTTCATCATTAAAATTTCTCCTCTACCCTTCAAAAATCATCCAGATTTCTTCAAATAAACCATCATCAATGTCATCTAGTGTTAATCAATCATCGATATTCGTGGCTGGGAGGTTCGTCGTTCAAGACAGATTTGCAACCCAAATTCATCAATTTCATCAATTTGTTAAAGTTCATAACGGATTTGGAACTGGAATTTCCCAGATTCGCAAACGAAATCAGTTGGAATCGGAATTTCTTCGTTGTTCATGAAATTAGAATCGGAGTTTTGAACTCACAGTCACAATCAACACTGAAGGACTCAGAATCGGTACTCACAGGTTCTCAATTGGACTTTCGGAAATCAAAATCAAAATGAGAAATCGATCAGACATAGGATGTCGCATCTGAATTTTGGTATATTTAAAATCATTTTTCGATAAAAATAGCTTTTTAAAAATTAAAAAAAAAACGAAAAAACTATGTTTTTGTATATATATTAAGGTAATAATTAACATAGTTTAAGGAAATATGCTTTGTTGAAAAACATATGTCTATTCATTTCTCATTTCCGTTGGTACGACGGAGGCTTTTACGGCAAAAATAAATGAGTGGTTGAGAATGATTCCCTCATTCTCAACCTTTTTTTTCAATTGAACCCTCCCATATATATATATATATATATATATATATATATATATATATATATATATATATATGGACTTTGTAACGATCATCACTTGAGTTATTTAATATTTATTTAATTAATTGTTGGGCTAAGTGTTTAATAGATGGATTATGTGAGTGGACCATTATTGAGTGGGCCGAATAGTTGGGCTGCCAGAAGACATACGTTGGGCATAGCCTTGGCGTACGATGGGCGTAGAGGAGCATTGGATGCGGGGGACACATGCACGTATGCGCAGCATACCAAAGAGTAAGCGCAACGTATGTGAGCAGGTTCCAAACCCTAATTTTTAGGGTTTAAGCCATATAAATACAACATTATGACTCAAACCCTAGCCTCCTTACCAGCCTCTCAACCTCCGAAACCATAGAAACCCTTTCATACTTCATCCTTGTGTGTTGTTGGCTTTGTGAAGCTTACTTTGGTGATTTGGAGCTTGGAAGAAGAAAAGAGAAGTTAGAGAAGAAGAACTTGAGTATCTTGAGCTCAAGGATCTGAGATTACCTCACCATTTGGCACTCATTAGAGGTATAAAGCTTTCATTTCAACATTCCTTATAAATGCTTGGATCTAGTGTAGTGATGTTTTGGGATCTTTTTAGTCCCAATAATGGATCTTTAATATTCCAACTTGTTTTTAGGTCTAGGTTTGCCACCCTTAGTGATATATATGAGTCCTATAAGGAGTAAAGTTTCAATCTTTAAGGCCCATTTGTGACCATGCATGATATCTAACCATTTCCATGGAAGTTAGTTGCTATATTCTAAGTTTGTGTTTATTTGGTGGGTTACAAGCCACCAAGTAGTCGACTTTATGATTTAAGACATGCTAAGGGATTCAGATCTGTAATATGGGCTTAAGGTCTTAATGAAATAAGCATTTTTGAAGTTGATGGCTTAACAGGGTAGTACGATGAGCATACACGCCAGTATGCACGGCGTACAAGCCATGCAAGCTATATGTGTAGCATACAAAGGAGTACGCTCAGCATACTCTCAAGATTTGGGCTTCATGTCTTTTGGGCCTCTGATTGGACCAAATCTTTAGACTTAGTAGCTGTTGGGACTTAATAGGCCATCAGAAGTCAGATAATGGACCAATGACAAGTTTAGGCCTAAGGGAAGGCCCATTTGAGAAGTTGGGCCCAATTTAGAAAATTAGGCTATTAGTGGGCCTTTAGTAGGCCATTAGTGGGCTTTGAAAGATTAGATGGAACTGGCCTAGGCTATGGTCCAAACTAGATATGGTGTAAAATGGTCATTTTACCCGAGGAAGGATTATTGGATTTTGAATAAGTGTTATTGTTAATGATAGTAGGGGAGTCGCGGGAGCAGCCGATAGAGATTCCTTACCAAGTGGTTTAGCAGCTAGCTTTATGAGGTGAGTTTCCTCCATTAGGAACGGGTCGAAGGCACCAATATCGGCCCGTTTATGTATGATAGCATATGTCGGACTTAGTTCTGATGTCGTGGTTAGCCCGATTTAGGTTATATGTTATGTTTATATGTTTCTGGACTTTGGTATGATGTCGCCGGAAGCCCAAGGAATGTTTATATGCTTAATGTCTTCGTGATTCGTGCATGTGTTTTTTATATGTTTCGGGCTTCGGTCCGATGCCAGAGCAAGCTTGAGGGATGTTTAGCTTATATGTTATGTTTATATGTTTCGGGCTTTGGTCCGATGTCGGGGCAAGCCCGAGGAATGTTTATATGTTTATGTTATGTGTTTATGTTATATGCTTTGTTTATATGTTATATGCTTTGTTTATATGTTATATGTATATCGGACTTCGGCCCGATGCCAGACGGGGTTTGATGTAGCGGGCAAGGCCCAATGTGTGTTATTATGTGATTATG